CTTAAGACCAACCCTAAAGCAGAGGCTTCTTATACACCGTTTGGTTCTTGTTCCTCGTCCTGCGCCGCGATTTCTCTTCCTTTCAAGACTCCTTCGTTCTCTCTCGATTAGTTTCTTCAAAGGTAAGCTTTCTTCGATTTCCCTCTTACACTAATCTTGCTTTGCATCCCTACACTCGATTCGTTGCCTTTTTAAACCCTAATTTTTTCTCCCTTTTGAAAAGTTTTGTCGATCTCAAATCACAGAGATTGATAAAAACCTAATTTCTCCAATTCTATTGCTGAAACGTTACTTTACACTACTATATTCTGGATTTAATCGGGATCTACTCGTTGATTATAGCTTTGACGCATAAACCCTAATCGAGAGAACCTGGCCTTGCTTGTATATGCAATTGCTTAATTGAGGGTTTCTTTAAAGAACTATGAAAGTCTTAGAGTTTGCTTAATTTGAATTCGTTTTCGTTAATTTTGGTACCCACAAGCTTAGTTTGCTCCTTTGCTTAAAGTTGTGAACTTGCGTTCTGTAGAAAATGCCAAAGGTTAAGACTAACCGAGTCAAGTACCCAGAAGGATGGGAGTTGATCGAGCCTACTCTTCGGGAGCTAGATGCTAAGATGAGAGAAGGTTAGTTTGAGATTGTTCATATGCTAAAGTTTGTTTCCTTTGCTTTTGATTGTGCTTGTGATCTTAAACTATTTTGTTCATTGTGCAGCTGAGATGGATACACATGATGGCAAGAGAAAGTGTGAAACTTTGTGGCCAATCTTCAAAGTCGCTCATCAGAGGAGTCGATATGTATATGACCTTTACTACCGAAGGGATGAAATATCTAAAGAGCTCTATGAGTTCTGCTTGGATCAGGGATATGCAGATCGTAGCCTCATTGCGAAATGGAAGAAGGTGCGTTTATATTTTCTTTCTTGATTACACTTTTTGCTTTCTGTGCACCTTTTTTAGTTAGTATCTGAGGAAAAATTAAAGAGTTTTGGAGTTTCATTAGTTGTTTGGTGTAGGATATTGGATATGGAAAATACTGTTGAATTAGTTTAGAGCGTCTAAAATACACTGTTGAATTAGTTTAGAGCGCAATGGTTTGCAAAGCTGTTGAATTAGTTTAGAGCGCAATGGTTCTCAAATCTGTTTCTCTGTAATCATTGTCCTAGTATTTGCACTTGCTTGGAATGATCTTACCAAAGAAAAGGTTGTAGAGTTAAGATTGTTGTTTTGTTTGGTACTTTGAACAAAAAATGCCTCGTAAGATATGTTATCTCTGTTTGTTGAAACTGTGAACTGTTTGTTTCGTCAAGCTTTGCTAAATCCTGAATAACATTGCACCCAACATCTCCTTGATGGTTTATTTCTTTTGAATCGCTTAGTAACAAAGACCCTGCTTTCAATTCAGATGCATATTCAGTTTTGTTCATTCTGATTGTATCCTCGTAGGCTGTATTGATCAAGATTGTACTTTGTTTTCTTTCAGTGGACAAACATTTTGTCAAG